TTCGCTTGTGCCCAATCATAAACTACCTCTACTAAACCAAAGTTTAGTGGTTGTAATGTTACTAATTGATAATGTTGTTCTAAAGCTTCTAATTCAGCATGTATTTCTTTTATTTCTTTACAACTCTACAATCAAATAATATTTAAATATTATAATAAATATATTATCTGAAACAATTTAAATATTTGTAAAAAGTTTGTACTAAGAAAGTATACCCTCTTTAATTCTGGTGTTAAATTTGGTTCAACATCAGTTCGTTGTTGAAATATTAAAGCAGACAACAATGCTGCTATTTCAGCTGGTTGGAGTACAGTTAATACATTTTTAAGAATGAGTTCTGTAATTAATAATTCGTTATTTCCCATTTGTAAAGCTACTCGACCTTTCAATGCAACTATAAAACACAGAATAAAAAATTATTTTAGATTGTTAAACAATATTAATAATTTTTATTTTATAGAACATACCTCTTTCATCATTATCTATATATCCTAAATCTTTAAGAAGTGCAACAGCATTTGTATATTCAGGATATAAACTTAATCCTTCATCACTAAGTTTTAATTGTAATTTATTTTTTTTGCTTTCCAATTCACTTCGTTCGTATACAATTTCAAATTGTTCTTCAAAATTCAATATTTCTCTACATTTCATATCATATACAGCTTTTTTTAAATCAAATAAATGTTGTAGTTTCCTATCAACATCATAATTCATTTTCATCTCCAGATATGGTCGTAATATAGAAGAATTATGAGAAGCATTAAGAGATAGAGTCATTAATTCTTGCATTGCTGTTTTATAAGTTTGACTAGGTTCTTCGTTTCTAAAAATAATTTAATTTTAATAAACTATAAACATTTTAAATGTGATTCAAGTTTTTATTACTTACTTAAATCTGGGTATTTGTCTTTTTTCCCAATTTGCCAAAACTAAATTATAATCTATTTTAATTTGACAATTTGTTATTTCTAATATATTCCATGCATCTATAGTCAATACTTCATCTGATGGAATTCCAATTGGTATAAATATTTCTTTTTTTGTTAAAGCAACAATATCGTACCATTTATCGGACTTATTAATTTTCTGATTTTTCCCTTCCGTTTCTTTGATAGACTTTGATATATCAGAATTTTTAAGAACTAATACTCTGTATTGTCTATTACCTTTATTTTGAACCGTGCTTAATAATAAAGCTAATTTATTATAATGACTTTCATATGATATAAGCAATATTCTTCCGGGTGTTAAACTTTTTACTGCTTTTTTTTGTGTCTCGTAAAAATAAGGTTTCAAATACTTAAGATACTCTAAATAATCAACAGCTACTCGATAAAAATCGGAAAGTTTCTTTTGTAAGTCGGTTAGAGGTGGCAATTTTGATAATTCATTTTCCACTTCTTGTAATTGCATTTTGTAATTATTTTGATTTATAACTACTGGTGATTCTTTAAAAGATCTTCGCATCATTGCTTCGACTGTCACCGATTCATTTAGCCTTCTTAGATTTAATACCATCGAATATGTTACTTTAAATTTCGATTCTAAATTCTGAGCTTGTCCACACATCATATTTTTTAATTCGTTAAAATGTGGTACAGATGTTCGACACATAACTATAACCATTCCAGTTGTATCGTGACCTCTACGACCAGCTCGACCAGCCATTTGTACATATTCAGAAGGATAAAGTATTCGGAAATTATTACCATCATATTTTTTTATAGAATCGAAAACTACAGTACGCGCTGGCATATTAACACCCATTGCAAATGTTTCTGTTGCAAACAATAACTGCAATAAAATAAAATCTTTTTAAATTTAAATAATTAATATAAATATTATAAAATTAAATAAAAAAATGATATATATTGAGAAACTGACTTTTACAACTCCAGTTTGGAAAAGCATTTCCACTATTTCTTTCAGAATAGGTAGTATACCACTATGATGGATACCAATTCCACTTTCTAATAATTCTTGCATCATAAGCACTTGTGGTAATTGTCTATCAGTACCTTTTAAATGTCGAATATTATTTTGAAAAAAAAGCTCGAATAGTGTGCTTTTCAGTCTCAGTTGTAAGATCGACATTTCTTAATAATACAGCACTCATATCGCATCGTTTTCGTGATAACATAAACACAACGACAGGCAACATGTTCTAAAACAATAAATAATAGCTATAAATTTAAATAAATAATGAAAATTTAATCAAAATATTTATATAATAATTATACTTGTGTTTTTAAATGACTTATGAAAGCACTCCACAATACTTGTTCTTGTTTAGGAGTCATCTGTTGATGCATAGATAACTTTTTAACATCTTTAATATTTTTATTTACTTGATTTTTTGAATTTTTTAGAATTTTGTTGCTTTATACCATCTAAAATTATATTTATAAATATTATTACAAAATATATATATATAAAGTTAAAAAAAACTAAGATTACCCATCTAATAAAAATTGACCACTTTCACCCAATACTAAAAATTTATCATCTTTAGTTTTACCATCAGTTCCAGTATATAAATAATGTTGAAGGGGTACAGGTCGTTTTAGAGTACTTATTACATATGTCTTTTTTTTTTTGTACGACCAACCCAATCAGCAAATACTAGAGGATTTGGCACAGTTGCAGACAACATTACTATAGTAACTGTTTGTGGTAGAAGTATCACACTTTCTTCCCAAACATGACCACGCTAAAGTAATGTAAAATTTATATATCATATAAATTATTTTTAATATAAAGTTAGCAAAAATGTAGCATTGAAGTCCTATTTACTTCATCATTATTAATGTAATGCACTTCGTCAAATATAACAAATTCTAAATCCCTTAAAACTTCGGATGCGCAATATAACATAGATTGTAAAATTTCCGTGGTTATGATAAGACATGATGCATTTGGATTAATTTGTAAATCTCCTGTTAATAATCCTACACTTTCGAATTTTCTTTTAAGTTCGCGATATTTTTGATTTGAAAGTGCTTTTATAGGAGAGGTATAAATGACTCTAAAAAAAAAAAAATAAAATTAATACTATTAATTTACATAATTATGATTTGAAATATAATTCAATAAATATAAATTTTTACTTTGTCATATGTTTTTGACTTAATGCTATAGCATATTCTGCTACAGTTGTTTTTCCAGCAGATGTATGTGCAGCAACAAACACATTACAACCTTCTTCTAATTTAAGAATAGCTTGTTTTTGGAAAATATCTAATTCATATGGAAAGCTCATTGCTAATTCAGGAATTCGTTTTTCAAAATCAGTAAGTGGAACAGACACATCTAATTGTTCTGCCCATTCTGTTATAGTTTCCACACGTTTTTCCGAAATATTTAAAATAGGTATATCTGTTTCTTCTAATAATGAAGCAATTTCATCAAATGCTGATTCCGAAATATCTGAAGTTTTGGTTCTTGTTTCTTCTTTTATTTTTTTTGTTTCTAACTTCCAAAAATCAAGTTCATTTTGTTCTTCTTCTACAATAGCCATTAAATTGATCTTGTCTGCTGTATTTTCAATTTCATTTTTTTCTGATTTCAATGATTCTTGATCTTGTATTGTCTTTTCTTTTGGAGTATAATTATCACTTTTAAATTCTATACCTGCACTAAATCCTTTTGCTAATGTTCTTAAATTATTTTCAAAGTCAATTTCCTCCATTGATGAGTCTACTATCATTTCAGGTTCATCAAAACCACCCGGCCAAAATGGAATATTACTAGTATTTCCTAAACAAAGTTTTAATATTTTTCAATTTATTTTGAACATTAATTTTAAAAAATTAATTTAAAATATTCTATGATCTAAATTATATAAAACATTTTGTCAAAAAATACCTCTAATAATATCAGAAGGTGGACCTGGTGCACGTGTCATAGACATAGAATTTCTAGCAGTTTCACCTGCTGATTTCAAAGGTACTTCATGCATTTCTCCAAGTTTGCCAGTAACAGGATCTCTATTAAATTTTAATGTAGTACCAAGTGGTGCTATATCACAATTCAAAAGAGAAAGAATATCAGGTTTTCTTGGCCAATAACATTGTGCATTATCCAAATGATATATTGGAAGATTATCCAAACATTCTATATATTCCCTTAATTCAGTTCTAATATCAGGCCAAATAGGTGGCAATTCAAATTCTAACTGTGAAATAAATAATTGTTAAAATAAATTGTTATTATAAATTTCTTCATAATTAAAAAAATTTACCATTTGTTTATTTGTATTGTTTTTTACATCCATTTTTTTTAATTTTTATATTTACACCACATTAATGAAACAATCTATTTCATTAATTCTTTAATATATTGCACTTTATTAGAAAGAATAATACTAGAGAAAATCTAAATTTAATAATTAACCTAAAACACATAATATATGATGCTTATAATAAAATATAACATATAAAAAATAAATTCTAATAAACACTGCTTATAAATACCAAAAAATTATTAAAAAAAATTTGTTTTTTTGATTTATTTTAATTTCAATTATGAAATAACAAATTATATCACATTATTATATTAGCATACAATTTATTTTTAGTACATTTCAAAAATTATAAAATTATAAATTATTTATAATTTTAGCAATAAATATAAATAATATGAGGTTATGTTTACAAGCATGTTTATACTATAAAATAGGTATAAATATATGCAATATATTTCTTATTTTATATCATGGGGATTTTATTTGTAAAGATAGAATAAAAGATAAAAGATAGATAAAATATATGCATTGATCTGTTTATTCATTTTATATCCAGACTATAGTATTTTTAGTATTATTTTCAATATTATTTATTTAAATATAATTACAATTACAAATTATTGATGATTAAATTTATGAATAAAATAAATAAATTTTAAGTAATAAAAAGAAAATATATTTATGTATTTTTATATTGATATTTTTATATTTCAAATTTTGTAACTTTATTAGGGAAAAAATTTTACTATTGGCTATACATTTGAAAACTTAACGTTCTTGTATTACATTTCTGTATACATTATTTCTATATTTAAGGTATAATTGCAATATTTATAATAAATATGAAACGAAAAACGAATAATGTTATAAAGGAAATATTTTACAATGTTCAATTTAATAAAACTTGTCATCAAAGTAATATTAAAAAATTGACAAAATGTTATGAAGAAGTAAGTTTATAGGTTTTAAATCAAATTTTTTTCAAACAATTTATTATGATATTTATTTATATTATAAACAAAATTTCAATATAATTATTTTAATGTTGGATTATTAATTATTCTTTTTTATTTTAGAATAATATATCAGATTTTTGGGATTCTTTCATATCTTGTTTTAGAATTCCACTTACTATTCCACAACGACATTTACGAGTTGAAAATACTTTAGAATTTATTGCTAAATTTGCCGCTAGTTTATATTCATCTGCAAATGATGATGATGATGAATCTGAACAATCTTTATGTCCTTTTCTGATTAAGTTATTTGATTTTATTTTAACAAACCATTGTGCAAAAAATCCAGGAGTGAGATTTCGTATTTGTCATTTTTTAAATATGTTATTAAATTCTATGGGTGATCAAGCTTTTATAGATGATGTTCTTTGTGATAAAATTACTGTTTCTATGATGGATCGCTTATTGGATAAATCTACAAAAGTTAGAGCTCAAGCAATATTTGCTCTACATAGACTTCAAGATCCTACAGATGATCAATGTCCTGTTATAAAAATGTATATATTTCATGCAACCAAAGATCCAAAAGCTATGGTTCGCAGAGCAGCATTAATGAGTATGGCAAAAAATCAACATACTCTGCAAGTAGCATTGAGAAGGACCAGAGATGTGGATGAGATTGTTCGTAAAATGGCATATGATTTCATTAGTAAAGTAACAGTAAGATCTTTGACTATCACACAAAGAGATCAGTTGTTAAATGATGGTTTAAAAGATAGATCTGAAATAGTTAAAAACACTGTCCAAAATGTTTTATTACCTGCATGGTTAAGACATTATAATGGTGACTTTATTGGTTTAATAAGAGCTCTTGATGCTGAAATTGGTACAGATGTGTCTGTTTTAGCTTTAGATATTTTATTTAAGTAAGCATTTAATATATATATTATGTATGAAATATATATAATCATATATATTGATTTATTCTAATATTATATACTAATATCTATATCAGATACATTAGAATGAAAGTATATAAATAATTAATTTTTCACATAATATTTAATCTTTTTTTAATTAGGAATACTCCATTAAATACATTAATAGAACAATTACCAATAAATAAGGAAACCAAATTAATTCCAATAAATAAATTGACTAGTGAAACTGTATTATATTGGAAATGCTTAATAAAGCATTTGCAACATGAATCTTTTACAGAAGAATTGGAAGGAATTTTACCAGAATTATCAATATTTTGCAATTATATTTCTGATTTTCTTGCAACAATATCATCAAGAGAAAATGAAATGTGGATAAATCATATGCAAAAATTTATTCTATTACAATTATTTGAAATATCAACAACATTTGATTTATGTGATGAAGTTGGTAGAAAAAAATTAAATGAGTTAATTTGTAATACATTAATGAGCAATAATTGGACAGAAAAATTAATTGAATGCATAGTAACACATTTACAAAAAATCATACCTGATGTGAATAGTAGATTGGATATTTTAGCTAACATTATCAGTGAAATTAGATTACCTTTAAAAGAAACTATAACTACACAAGTTTCAGAAGAACAACAACATCAAATTAACTTACAGGTAAGTTCATATTATTCAAAATATTTAAATACATCAATATTAAATGCTAAAAAGAAATATAACAATTATACTATTTAATAAAAGTATTTTTTAGAGAGCAAAGCTTAAGATAAAGATGTTGGAATTGAAAGAAGAAGAATATCAAGCTATACAAGACAAACAATATTTAAAAGCAGATAGCTTAAAAAATGAAATAATCTCATTGACTAAGGAAATAGAAAAATTATCAGAACAGAATCACATAACAACTATAGTTAATGAAGAAATGAAGGAAAAAAGTGATTCTAAAACAATGATAAAATGTTTAACCATAATATGTACAATGATGCAATCTGTGACTACAATAACACCAACACTTAGAAGTCTTATGCAAATAGCACTTGACAGTTTAGATGTAAATATCTCTAATTTAAAATATAAATTTCATTAATTTTAAATATGTTAATTAAAAATTATGTTTTCAGCATCCAGATGATGCAGTACATATATTAGCAATAAAAGCAGTCTCTATTTGTTGTATATTGGATAAAGAATTAGCTAAACAACATATTATGATGTTATTCTTACAATTTTCTTTGGAACAAGAAAATCCAGATATTTGGATTGTTGCTTTGAAAGGAATTTTCGATCTCTTACTATTGCATGGTCTTGAGTATTTTGATATTTCAGAAAAAACAAATGAGATCTCACTTGATAAAACTGAAAAGTCTCGTACTAAATTATTTACAGATACTGATAAAGAAGTTTCTGTAATATCATTAGGCATATCAGAAGCAGAAAAAGGCAATTACTGTTTTATTAAAATCTTAGCAGGATTATTAGATAATGAAGTATGTATATTTTATATATATATATAAAAATTAATATGCTTATTAATTTTTAAAAAATAAATATTTTTAAAAACAGAATCAAGGATTAAGGACAATTGCTGCTGAAGGTCTTTGTAAGTTGTTACTTAATCGACGAATCAGTGGTTCAAGTTTATTATCACGATTAATAATTTTATGTTATAATCCTGTAAATGATAATGATTTTTATCTCCGACAATGTTTGACGGGTTTTTTCGATAATTTTATCACACTTGTTGATGCCCAAACATCATTAGAAGAAACATATTTACCAACTTTACAGATTTTATGTAATGCGCCAGAGATTAGTCCTTTACATGAAATTGATCCTTATGAAGTATCTAGATTTATAATAAATTTGACTAGAGTTAGAATTCGTAAATCTGATGCAGAAAATTATTGTGTACACAATAATCTTGTTTTTAATATGCTCGCAGAAGTGTTAAATCCATCCAGTAAAATTCATTGTGAAGTTCTTCTTAGATCTTTAAACGATTTGCATTTAGAATTGGATGATACATTGGAAAAAAATTTACAACAAGCCATTAAGAAAGTAACAAAAATGGTAAATATCGCATTTATAATTTACTAATAATAATATATTTTAAATTGTATATAAACTTGTTTGTATTTCTTTTTTAGGTAAAACAGGATAAGCGATTATTAAAATATATTGAACTTTTTAAAAAAAAGTTAAATACTCCTGACATTTGTGACAATGTATCAGAGAATGAAGATACTGAAGTTGATGAATGATCATTGATCAATTCAGAATATCTCATTTAATTTTTATGTCACTTTTAATTATTTGTGCAGATACAAAAAAATATTTGAGAAGAAAGTTATCACGTTTCATATATTAATCATTTTTTATTATATAATCAAAAATATGACGAAATGAAACATAATTAAGGCATTGTAAATATATATAAATTTTTTGATAAAAATCACGATTATTTTATTTTTATATTTTATTTTTCTTAAATTCTATTATTTCAATCACTAACTTTTCAATCATTTATAAAATTTTAATTCAATTATCTCAAAATTATGATATAATAATTATTGTATGTGTTTTAACTTCACATTTAAATACAAATATTGATTATTCCATTAAAAAAAAAATATTCGCAAAATCTTGAAAAATATAATCTTAAGATGATCTGCATTACTTGATGCAGATCTATATTAATGTTTTCTCTGAAGTATATGTTATAAATATATTTTCTCTTCGAATATCTTTTTTTAAATAATTAAAAGTAACAGAATTAAGTGAAACCATATTATATTATTTTATTTTGTTACTTTTCAAGTATATAGAGTGAAGCATTTATATAAATAATTTATATATATATAAATAATTTCGTTACTTATGGTTTCATCATTAATTTAAAGAAATATAAAACTATATAATATATAAAACTAGAATATTTTTTTCAGATCATTTTTTAATAAAATTATAAATAATGAAGACATTTAAATTGACAATTTCATATATTATATTATATTTAAATATCTTATAAATTTATTAAATCCGTTTTTATAATTTTGCAAAAAATTTTAATTTCCCGGCATATTACTTTAAATATTTTATATAGATGGTAGACTAGTTTGTTTATACATATTAAGCGCAGACTAAATATAAAGTAGATTTATTTTCCAATGAATTTTTGTTATTACATATTATTATTTTCGTTATTCATATACAATCTTATCGATTTAGAATAAGATAATAGCGTCATAATCAAGGAATGTAAAAAAAATTTATTTAAAAAACTCAAAAAATGGCATTGATCTTTAATTTTTATTCTTTTCTTATTATTTTTTCTTTTTATCTATATATATTTTATCTATAATACTATATATATATAATATATATAATAGAAGTGACATTGATTTCATTGAATTTAAATAAAATTTATTTATATTTATATATGTTTTTTTATTTTAATATTTAATTGTTATACCACGTTTTGAGAAAATATTAGATTTTTTTACATTACAATACCGAAAATAAAGTGATTTATTTAAACCATGACTACAATGTCTCATAAGATGTAAAATCTATCTTGTATTTTATCTATGCTTTAAAAAAGCTTCTAATCAATCTTCCGAACTTTAACTCTATTTTATCATATAATTAATTTTAAAAGTATGGAGAAGTTTGAAAAGCCGCAGATAATTTGTCATATCGAGAAATCTGTAAATTATTCATTATTTGATGCAAAATGGATTCCGTGTAGTACGAAGTTTGTAGTTATGGGCTCGCGTCCTCGTGGTAGTGGTATTATACAAATTTATGAAGTTTCTAGTGGTGAATTAAATCTTATTAAAGATATTGAAAGATCACAACCAATAAAATGTGGAACTTTTAAAGCATCTAGTTTAAGAGACAGATATTTAGCAACTGGTGATTTCCAGGTATTCATTTATGATTTTCATAAAATATATAATATAAAACAAATAATATAATTCCATTCGAAAAAATAAAATTACATAAATAAGATTAATAATTCATTATTCCTACATACAGAAAACTTAAAGTTACCTTTATTAGGGTAAATTGAATATCTACAATTTAGAAGATCCCTCAATACCAATTTATACTGTTAATGCTCACAAAGAAATTATAAACAGTATTGATGGTATAGCTGGACAAAGTATTGGATGTGGTGCACCAGAAATAGTAACTGGCTCCAGAGATGGAGGAGTTAAAGTCTGGGATCCTAGATTGAAAGGTCGGCCAGTTGCTGTAATGGAACCTAAAGAAGGAGAAACTCGTAGAGATTGCTGGGCAGTTACATTTGGAAATTCATATAATTCTGAAGAAAGAATAGTAGCTGCAGGATATGATAATGGAGATATAAAAATGTTTGATTTAAAAGCAATGGCACTTTTATGGGAAAGTAATCTCAAAAATGGAGTTTGTAGTATTGAATTTGATAGAAAAGATATTCCAATGAATAAGTTAGTAGCTACTACATTAGAATCAAAGTTTTACTTATTTGATTTAAAGACTCAACATCCTAAAAAAGGATTTTCTTATCTAACTGAAAAGGTAAGATTAAAATAAAATATTTATGTGGTTAATGTAACTATATTACATATTACATTATATGTTTATATATATGTATATAAATAATATGTATATATATATATATATATATATATATATATATA